AGAAAATAAGTAATCAGTATACAGAGTTTAAATATATGCCTTATTATCACATTGGATAACTTCTAAAACAGGTGTATGTAGAAACATGGTAAATAATTCTAATGTTGAAGAGCATTATAGTCATGACATGCTCCAAATGTTTTTTTTTTTCTTTTTACAATAAATAAATGATGATTCCTATTCCCATTGTCAAGAATTAGCTACAAATGAATAACCCCTGGATCTTAAATATAAATTGTATTTGTTGTCATCTCTTTTGGAATCTCAGTGAAGATTTCACATTTACTATATTAGTCTATTAGTTTGGTTCAATCACTCGTGTGTCCACTATACTCTGGATTACAATTGTCCTCAACGCAAATTAAATTTAGACCTTCTCATAAATTCACACAACATCCCCAAATATCCCTCTGTTTGCAATTACGCACACATTTATTCAAATAGATGTTAATGAATGCATATGGCATGGCCTATTGCACAGTCCATCTTTAAACACTGACCTTTGAATGATTATGTAAGTTATGAATGTTTATCACACGCTTGATTTCCCCTTATTTATCATTTATTCTGTGTTAGGACTAAATTGTGTATTTAAAAGTACATATTGAATAAATAGAAACCGATATCTTCCTGAGCGGAACAGGCCTTTTCTCTTGCTCCTCTGTGGTGACTAACAGATCTCAACCACAGCCACATCTGGAGAGCAGCTTTGCCCTCTGTCCCGCATCATCCAAGTCCACATCAAGGCTCGCATTGTTGTTGGAGAAAAAGAAGAACACTCAGTCATTCTACGATCTTACAAACATTTTCAGATCTTATTTGCAAATAGTAGGCTTATGCTTTTCAGATCTCTGGCTAGGGATAAAAAAGGTCCTCACTCTGTCTACGAACATGAAACAGAATGGAAGGTTGTATTTGGAGACAATTTAAAATGTAGTTTATTACTATTTATTAAAAAAAGATAATATAAAGATTCACATTTCGGCCCTCAACCCTTTTCCCATCTGCTTTTTTAGATTTTTTTTCTCCCTCAATTTAAATGAATGGGAGATATTACCATAGAGAGTGTTCGTAGAATATGTAGTTTAGGCGCCAGTAGCTCAGTTGGTAGAGCATTGGTCTTTGAGCCTGAAGGTCGTGGGTTCGAGCCAAATGACCACAAGACTTTCTCCATTGACTCCCACGGTCTGCTGTCGTTGTGTCCTTGGCAAGACACTTGATCTCTGGGAACACCTGATGCCACAGTGGGGCGGCTGCGGCTGTAAAGTGCCAAACTGCGGTTGTGTCCTTAGGCAGGACACTTTACTCCCATTGCCTAGAATGAGTCTGGTGTGTGTGTGAATGGTTGGAGGTGGTCGGAGGGGCCGATGGCACATACTGGTTGCCTCGCTTCTGTCAGTGTGCCCCAAGGCAGCTGTGGCTACAGTAGTGGCTAACCAAAAAAAAACAAAAAAAACGTTATATAAAACTAATTCATTATTATTATTTTTACAGTTAGAAAATATATTCCGTTCCTAAAATGTATTTTGTATAGTATAGTAATATGTTACTTTGGAAAATGTACCTGTACTCTGAATAGTTTTATTCATACTTTAAATTTGTGTTGTTATTATATTTATTGTAAATTTATCAATAAATGTTTTCATAAATAAAACATGTTCGGTAATTACTCAATAATTTGTATATTTTCGAAAGACAAGTCAAAGTACTTCAAAAGCTGCCGAATAGATAGCTGAAAAATAGAATCTTCACTTTATCATTACACACAACGTTTTTTCTTTCCTTTTTTTTTACCTTACAAACGTGACGTGAAAAAGTATGTATTCCCTTGATTATCAGAAAGTATCTACCTAAATTCTCATGGGCTGTGTGTAGCAAGGGGTTTTGAAAGCAGTAATTGAAATGTTCTTAATTGGGTGTACAGGCAAAAACTAACCCTTTATTAAAAGATCAAAAGAAAGTGATGGTGATTTTGTGCAATTCAACAATTTTGTTAGGATCTTGTGTTTGTTCTACGCCTCCCCTCGTGTGTGGCAGAAGAGTGGTCAGCTTCACCTGTGCTGCAGACAAGACTCACCTGCACCTCCTCCCTCACTCTCTCTCTGTATTTCAAGACCGGTCTGTTCCCACTTCTCTGCAGATGACTCCGTCTCAGTTGGTAGAGCATACAGCTCTTGTGTTATTTAGATATTGTCTGTGTTATGTGGATTTCTGTGTGTACCTGTTGCTCCTTGTCTCTTTAGATCTGCTTGTGTCTCATCTCTGCATCTCTATTCAATCAATCAATCAATCAATCAATCAAATTTTATTCATAAAGCGCTTTTCATACAAAAAGTGTAACACAAAGTGCTTTACAGTTTAGTTAAAAACAATCCAACATGCCCAGCCCTAAACCCTCCTCCCCACAGACCCCCCAAAACCACATTTATAATTATATATACAATACACACACCCACACACACACACACACACACACACACACACACACACACACACACACACACACACACACACACACACACACACACACACACAAGTACAAAGTCATATCAGGTAAAATATGTAAAACAATAAAAAGAAATGGGGCTGGGAGCAGATGTAACCGGCTGAAGAAGCGTCATCCAAGGAGCCATCTGCACCTGGAGCAGAGAGCCGGCTGCAGCCACAGGCAACGACACAGGACCCAGAGGAGAGAGGGGCCCCAGACCCTCTCTCCTCTGGGTCCAGGACTCAGACCCCATAGGACCCAGAGGAGAGAGGAGGCCCCAGACCCCCACCGGATCCAAGAGCCAGTCCCCCGAAGCCACAGCAGACCCCAGCTCTCAGTGCAGAGGGCTCCTCCAGAGGAAACACTGGGGACACTAAAACAATACAATAATACAATAGAAAGTAGAACAATAGAATGTGAAAATAAAAAGAAAAATGGCAGCTGCCTAATATAATAACAATAGTAAATGGGTAGATACAATAAATAATTAAAAATAGCAAATAATAAAAATATAATCCGTCTAAAAACATAAATAGATGTACTAAAAAGCAATAATAGATAATAAATACTAATCAAAAGCTGCTCTAAAAAGGTGCGTCTTGAGCCTACTCTTAAAAATATGAACGTTCTCTGCGGCTTTTACTTTTCTATCTACGCTTCAGCTGCGCCTGCTCCCTGCCTCCACAGTCTGTTCATCTGCCTGCAAGTGTTGTAGCTAAACTTGTTCAACTTCTCCAGTCTCTTGCCTCTGCTTTAGGGTTCTATCTGCAAATTGTAACAAATTCAATGTATTAAAAGATAGAGAGATACTTTATTTATCCCACAATGAAAAATTCAAGGGTCATATTAGCTATGTAATTCCAGGCAAAGAAAAACAAAATCAAATCCCAACCATCATTCATTTTTCCATGGAGCTGTTGACAGACTAGTATTTTAAAAGCCAGATTCTGTCCACCTAATGCTCCTCATTACAGTGGTTCTAAGAGAATATTGTTCAGAAAACAGCATCATGAGGTCCTAAGAACCCACCAGAGAGGTCAGGGATGAAATTCGGGAGAAACATGAAGTTATATCAGTCCATTCCAGTCCAGTCCAGTTTATTTCTAAAGCACTAATAAAAACAACAAGGTTGACCAAAGTGCTGTAAATAAAAAGACATACAGTTATCCAATTAGAAAATGAAAAAAAACGCTTAGAGTGGCCCAGTCTAGAGTGGTCCAGACAGACTGTCCAGACCTATCCACTCCAGGATCTAAAAAACTCACAAACGCTCTATGGACCTTGAGCCACTAAGCAAAAATAATATTTAAAAACAAATACGCCACACAAATGCTAGTAACAAAATACCCAAAACAATGATTCCACAAAGGCCTTGCCCCACATGCATTTTTTGATTTGTGGAAACAGGAAGGTATAGTCAGGCATGTGGAGATGCAATCCACAAACAGCAACATGTTTGTAAGAACATACTGTTAAATAATATAAAAATAGTTTTAAAACTTGCAATCTTCTTGTTTTATTATATCTTTATTTATGATATGTTACAAATGACCAGTTTTTACCATAGACATATAAAGAAGGTTGTTTACCTTTACCTTTTTAGAAATGCGTAGCTATTCCGCAAACTTCTGGAGGACTATTTGTCCCCTCGTGAGCTCCCGTAGAGGAACATCCTGAGCCCGGAATCGTTGAATGAACGTCCTGCTGCAGCATCACTGACAAACAAACAGAGCCACACTGAGGTACGCTAAGGTCCGCCGAGGTCCGCCGAGGTCCGCCCTGCTTTAGTCCTTTTCGAGTTCAGTCCAGTCCAGTTCTAGACCTTTACAGAGAAGGGTTCAGTTTGACTCAGCCTCATTCTGTCACAGCAGCTAGCATCACAGCAGCTAGCATCACAGCACGTTAGCATCACAGCACGTTAGCCTCATAGCCTCCATACACCGCTATTGTAACGTTATGTCTATGAGTCTGCTTTGCTTTCGCTCGTATTATTGCTCATTCGTTTACGTATTAGCTCCAAATGCGTGGAACTTGCACAACTCAGAAGAAATGGGATGAATGATTGAGTCAATGTAAGCGTTCCCATCTTAGCATGTGCATAACACGATTTCAGTGGTGGCATTTGTCCCTCCTTTTAGATCCAAAACTCTTTACTAAGTAATTATTTTAATGCAAAAAGAAAGCTTTTAAATGTCAAAAGCTGCTTCTAGGGGAATACAAAATGCAACCAATGACTACCAATATACATAGGATAAAATACTATTTGAATCAAAGGCAAGCTGATTCTTTTTCATTGTCAATGCTTTATATATTGATACGATACTTAATGTACAGCATATTCAAAGTAATTCGTTGTGATTTGATAGTAATTACTCTAACAAATACACAACAGTGAATAATGTTATCAATATTTCTTCACTTTTGTATGATGAAGCATACATAGTAGATGGATCATTGCAGTAATCTCAAGCGTTTAGAGTCCACACTGACTTTTGCTTGTTTTGCAGCCAACATGAGTCTGAGGAAGCAAACACCGAGTGATTTTTTGAAGCAGATCATCGGCAGACCTGTGGTTGTCAAACTGAACTCTGGAGTGGATTACAGAGGTAACTCTTCAACTTGTCTCTATGTTTGTTGGATCAAAGCACACAGCATGATTCCTGTCTGTCTGCAGGAGTTCTGGCCTGTCTTGATGGCTACATGAACATCGCCATAGAGCAGACGGAGGAGTATGTGAATGGCCAGCTCAAGAATAAATATGGAGATGCTTTTCTGAGAGGAAACAATGGTGAGTCCTGGTTATAATGGCTTATTTCTAGTATTTAGTCAATACATTTTTAGAATATCGTATCTTCAGCTTGTGAGGAAATCTGCAATCATTCTGACAACTTCTGCTCCAAGTAAACCAATATGTTTAAATTTTAAAGCTCTGAATCAGAATACAGCAGATGTATGTTTTAATTAGGCTGTAAGACATTACTTACTATTTTTTTCTCTTGTTAAAAATATATATTTTTTGCAACTTTGTCTTTCAGAAATATACAATTGTGTGTTTGGCTGTCAAACATCAAAGAATAGAGTATTTACTCTTCTAATGACAACATATTTCATGGATACCTAAAAACCAATACATATATATTTATCATCGTTGAATTCTTTATACAATGATTTTTTTCTCTTGAGGTGGAAAAATCTTCAATAAAACTTACAGTAATTTATAAATCCATTTTCAGAAGAAGCACATTGTTTTACTTACAAATACAGATATATATGACATTAGGTAAAACTGAAATGCTAATGAAGACTTTATGTATAGGTGTAAAAGAGCTCTTTTCTCATCTCAGAAAATGAGCCGTGGAATTCTGAATGAGCGGCAGTATTTACCTGTGTAGAAGGCCTTACAGTGGTCTAATCTACTTGCAGCAAATGCAGGTTTCAGTATTGACAACGGAAAAATATTTATGCATTTTAGAGCTAGACTAACTAAAAGACTATTCAGTGACTTTTACAACTATAAAGAGGGAAAATGGCTGTGTTTTCAAATTTGCCCATTATCTGCATCTTCTGCCGAATGAAAAATCTGCGTTGCGTCTTCCGCGAAACCATTTTCTGATCATATGCCGCGGCCCCTCCCCACTTTCCGGTCCACACTGGCACCGGCGGCGTGTCGTTCCGGCTTCAGCCCGGTGACTCACGCTGGCAGGTGCAGTGCTGAGTACCTTTTAAAGGCTCCGTCCGCACTCTGCTATTTCCGGCCAAAACGAGCGGCCTGCTAAAAGTAGTCAGACGCGGGACAAAATGCGATTGGGAAATGACAGTTTTTAGTGACAGTAATTGCGCCCGGCCCAGAGACGGCTCACCACCACCTCCTCGTCACGCACTCACTACGGGAGGGACCGGGGGCTTGGGCTGAATATCGGAGCGCAGATTTGATATGTGGACTTTTTCTTTCTCTCTTTCACAGTTCTCTACATCAGCACCCAGAAGAGGAAAGTTTAGCGCCCGTCATTTTATAAGTAGTTTGTTTTGTGAACTTTGGTTTTTGTCATTTGTTGGAATATGGAAATAGGTTTTGTTTTTACTCGGGCTAAGTTTATTTTCTTGTTCTCCATGGTTATCAAACATAAAGTTCAACAGTCAGGGTTTTATTTGTGGCCTAAATGAAAGACATTGTGTTTCTTAAACCCTTTGTTTGATACAAAACCATGTTTGGAATTTTTTCAATGTTTTCTGATTAAAAACAAAATGTGTATATGTTCCCTTTGTCTACATTACACATACACATTGATCTTTTATCCTACTACTTAACTGTACTATTAACTGTATAATGTAGTGATTTTACTGCTTAGAGGGGACTTATTAATGCTATTCTATATGTTATTTATCATTCCATTTTACAGCATTTGAAGTGTTAAGTCAGAAGTCAAATGTGTGTGTATACTATACCAATGCATTAGAGCATGTCATTTTCTATTATGAATTATTACCGGCTATACTTTAAAATTAGCTTTTTCATGAGTTGGTTGGGGAATTGATTTAACTCGATTCATCCTCAGAATGTTGGACCCACAGCCACTGTATGAGGCCTTTTCTAAACTGTTTCCCATCTAATCCAGACAATTAAATGAACAACATTAATTGTGGATTTTGCTAAAGCAGTTTGGCCATAGTTAATAAGAATCCGTGTTACAAACTGCCGGAACAGTAATTTTAGAACATAAGCTCTTAAGTCGTGCAGGGTGGTTTTTAATGTCAAGAAATGTATTTTCAAGTTTATTTTTTATTTTGTTGTATTTTTTTTAGCCCATTTACTTTAGACCTGTGAAAAAAGTTTTATGGATAAAGCTGGGGTACTTCACTGCCCCACAAATTTGAACTATGTTATAAAATTCATATAACTAGTCCCTCGCTCTTGGATTCACCAGTGACTCAAATACCCTAACTTTTTTTTTGAGCTGAATTTAGAAGATATTTCCTACTTGACCAGCCATGGGTCATTAAGACCTTCATTTAAGGTCAAGGAGTGTCTTTTTCTAATCACTTCTAACCCTAACCCAAGGGTAAGTAAGTAATGTTTATTTATATAGCGCATTTTACAGGCCAAGGTCACCCAAAGTGCTTTACAATGTTCAGAGGGTAGCACACGGGTTAACACGGATTGAAATAATTTTAAGTCGGGTTAAGTCATCTTTTTCAGACAGAAAAAGAATGGACTACTCCCACAGCGAATCAGCTCTCAGCCTAAAGAGTCAAATAGTGACTCAGGTATGTAAAAGATGAAATATTTTCTCATGAAAGGAAGAGGGAGTGTTGATCTGACATGTTCACATCACTTTACTTTTGCAAGACTTTATTTGGGACAGCATAAATATTGATACCCTAACTTTTGTAATGGATTTTTTGTAAATTATTTATTGTACAAAGTAAATCATCAGCATTTTATAAAACATCATTAACACCATTGCGTGACATCAATGTACCACTATCACACTCAACAGTTGTCTGCTCTAGAAAACAAATGTGATGCCCATAAAGTAGTTTTTGTCATTTGTCTCTCGCATATCTGTGTTTGCAGTTGGGAAATCTCAAAAAAACAAAATTTAATTCCACATCAGAATATCATTTACCCTTCACACTTCTAAATAACTTGTTGCTAATGAAGTAGGGACATTTTTTAACTCATTTGGTGGACTACTGTAGAAATAACACATTCTAATACATGAAATAACAATGTGAGTAGTCTTACCATCTATAGTATGCATAATATTTCTTATTTAAGTACCTCTTGCACCGCTCTGCTAAACACAGCCCTATTCTTAAACCATTCACTGACGCAGCCTTGTTCAAATAAATGTGAGACCATAGGCCACGAATGGTGCGTTTTCAATGTGGCCTGCGGTAATCCTGCAAATGAGTTCATAAGTGTCCCTACCTCATTAGTCTAAGATAAGGACGCTATAAATACATGTTTCATTAGACTGGTAATGAGAAGGCTGGAGTGGATAAAATGAAATCTGTTTTTTCCTTTTATCTGTTTTTCTTTTTCTCTTGTGGTTTTCAAGAGCCTTGTTTTCCAACCTGTACATGCGCACTCTGGCCCCTGTAAGGAGACAAAAGGCTGCGCAAGGTCAGGTCTGACTGGAGAATGAAGGACACGTTATTGATCAAACCGGGCTGAATCTGCAGCTGTAGAAGAAAGAAAAAGAGAAGAGGAGAAAGATGTCGTGTGGGATCGAGCTGTCTTTCCAACACGAGTGAACACGCACACCAGATATATGCCGAGGCGAGTAATGTGTACTCAGCCAAAGCATTGTACACAAGACACAAGGAATCATTATGGCTGTAACGAGGGCGAGCAGAGGCAAATATTTACCCTGCACCAAGCTTAAGCGATGCACCGGCTGCGAGGCCTCTCAGGGAATCCAATTAATACTATTCCAATGCCATGCTTTTGAGACATTCTCCTGGAACATTGGGTCTGTAGTGGTATTCTTGGAATCCATTCGTATAGTTTGATAATAATACTGCATCGGTTTTATATAGCACTTATTGAACAATCAAAGACACCTCACATGACATTCATTCACTCTGATTGCATTCGTCTTTCTAAAATGTCAGTTTTAAATCCTCTTCTCTGCATTTTTTTAATTCGTTAAATGTCATTCTTCAGAACATCCCATTTAACATTTCTGTTACGTGTTTTTATATATTAAAGTAAAACATTTTTTATGAATGCCTCTTTTTTATGTTTGCACCATATACCTAAGCAAATTCCTAGTTTGTGACTTCCTGTTACTTAAAATGGTAGTATAAAATGCGGATGTCTGTGAAACTGAAATGGTGTGCCTATCTTTGTGGCAATGGCAAAAATGAGGATTTGCAAAGTTTTTTGAATGACTACTAAATTACTTCAAGTTGCTACAGGCCAAGTATTAAGTAGTTTTGAGCCAACTGTATTTATGGACTTGTAAAAAAGGCCTTCAAAGTAAACCAGTCCCACTGATTTCAGAATTGAATTGTTTGACCTATTGTCTGTAGGGTTGTAACAAGAATCAATGAACTAACCAAAGCGCTTCACCCTGTGCATTTGACCCGGGTTAGGATTAGGGTTAGTCGGGAACCTGACTGCAGAGGTTGATGCTCGGCCTGGTCAAGACTACCAGAGGTGGAGGATTTTTACTAAATGATTCCTCGTTTTGTGAACCTTCTCTAGACTTAAACATGCTTAGAAGAGACTTAAAAAAATCTTTTATCCAATCCTGTGAGTAAGAAGTCCTGAAGATGTTCTCCAGGGGCGTTGTTGAGCTTTGTTTTGGGCAAATGTATTATTTAAAAATCTCGCTTTTACTGGCTGCTCTCGGTCCAATCAATCAATGAAAATAACCAGGCAATACATGATAATATATTTTCATTGGTGAGGTTGGAGGGAGTCAGTCTTGGCATCGTTCTCTTTTTGATTAGTGTTGATGTTTCTGTTTCTACAAGAACCTGGTCAGACAAGACTTGATCAATCAATCAATCAATCAAAGTTTATTTGTAGAGCGCCTTTCATACACATGGCAACACAAAGCGCTTCACAGTCCACATCACAAATCATCACATAAAACAAACACCAGAATCACAATTAAAACATTAAAATCACACAAAAGATTAAAACACAATTAAAACATTAAAATCACACAAAAGAATAAAACCATTAAAACTTTCAAAATTACACAAGAAATTTAAAAAAATAAATAAATGACAGCAGTGCATTAAAAATGGAGATAAAATCCTTCAGTTGTATGCACAGGCAAACAGAACAGTCTTTAACCTGGATTTGAACATTGACAGAGTAGACGCCTCCCTCACATTTTCAGGGAGATTGTTCCAGATCTTAGCTGCATGGATCTGAAACGCAGCCTCCCCATGTTTGGTTCTCACTCTGGGCACCAGCAGGAGGCCAGTCCCTGTGCTCCTCAGAGTCCGGGCTGGTTCATATGACACCAACATGTCACTAATGTATTCTGGTGCAAGGCCATGGAGAGACTTGTACACAAGCAGAGCCGTTTTAAAATCTATTCTTTGAGCCACAGGAAGCCAGTGCAGAGACCTGAGGACCGGACTAATATGGTCATACTTCCTGGTTCCTGTCAGGACTCTAGCTGCTGCATTTTGGATGTACTGCAGCTGCTTACAGGTCTGTTTGGACAGACCTGTAAGCAGGCCATTGCAGTAGTCTAGCCTGCTGGAGACAAATGCATGGACAAGAATCTCCAAGTCTGCCCTGGACACTATATTTCTAACTTTGGCAATGTTCTTCAGATGGTAAAAAGCTGTTGATGTTATTGATTTTATGTGGCTATTGAAATTTAGGTCTGAGTCCAGTATTACCCCCAAATTTCTGACCTTGTCTGAAGGAAGTAGGGAGAGAGACTGAAGTTGACAAATGACGCCCTCTCTTTGTTTCTGGGGACCAAAGACAATGATTTCGGTTTTGTCTGTATTTAGCTGGAGGAAATTATTTTGCATCCAGTCACTGATCTGTTGGATACAGTGAAGGAGCAAATCCAGTGGTCCATGTTCTCCTGCAGTCAGTGAGACATAGATCTGAGTGTCGTCAGCGTAATTGTGGTAGGACACTTTGTTTCTTTGTATTAACTGACCTAACGGCAGCATGTAGAGATTAAATAGGAGAGGTCCCAGGATCGACCCCTGTGGTACACCACAGGTCAGGGCCACATCATCTGAGACGCAGTCTCCAATCTCCACAGAGTACTTCCTATCCTCCAGGTAAGACCTAAACCAGTCTAGGGCTGTGCCAGTGACACCAGCCCAGTCCTCCAGTCTCTGCATGAGGATCTCATGGTCGACAGTGTCGAACGCGGCACTAAGATCTAACATGACCAAAACTGTGACTTTACCTGCATCAGTGTGAAGTCGAATGTCGTTTGTTACCTTCACTAGAGCGGTCTCAGTGCTGTGGTGGGGTCTAAACCCAGACTGGAACATATCAAAAG